TACCTAACCTTATATCTAACTTTAAACACATGAATAGTCCCAATGACATCAATAGTACTACTCATCATCCTTAGAGTTAAGCACTCAAGTGCTTTACTGGATGTGCTCTGATCAAACCCTTAGTTAGTAAAATATTATGCAATATGATGTAGAGTTGCATTACACAACAATATGCAAATTAATAGCTTCACATGTCTATTTATTTACTTGATGTAAAAATAATGCTATATGATGGTATTTGGGGAACACATATTCAGCAGTTAGGTAGTCTCTGGGATGTTCTTCCAATGCTGAGCCCATAGCTAAGGAATTAGGGTTTTTTAATAGAAGAAAAACTCGGAACCACTTTTGGAGCATTTTAATCAATATTACCGCAATATGCAAATGAGCTGAAGTATGATTGGTTGAGCTTCTCAGTTGTCACAATCATGCTCACCCTTCTTGTCACCCTTCCATTGTTGGTTGCAATTTTGAAATCAAACTGAACAATATTTTACAAGTATGTTTTACATTTTTCCAATGTTCTAATTGACAGAATCTTTTCAAAATTAAGTAGATAGGAGTACCAGGGTAGAAGGAGAGTTCTCTAAGATTTTTGTCTGAACATACTTTCATGTTCAAATAGCCTTTAAATGGACACAGCATAACATAGGTAATCTAGATTAGGCTTTTCAGACTCATTTCTGAGTTCTAATGACATTATACACCTCTTGAGGTAAACCTTCCCATTACCAGGCTGCCAGAATAACTGTTGGATATGGATAGCCCATTATCTCTCTAGCATTTCCAGCGTTCCTCATCATACCCAGCTCAAGCCAGGAAAGCTAGTGTTCCATCCAGTGCCAGATTTACGCACTAGGTGAGTAAATGACCTTTTAGGGCCTCAGATTAAGAAGGGCCTCTAAATAACACTCTCTAGTTTTTAGTTGCATTCTCACTTATATGCTGGTAGATATGCAAATATAACACTTAATTTTTCTATTTTCTGCCAATGCTATAGGGCTTCTTAAACTCAACATAGTTTAGAGCCTCAGCATGTCTTAATCTGGCCTTGCCATTGGACAAAATTCTGGCACATGCCACCTGAGGTCTGTTGTACATATGCTCAGAAAATTTAGGACAAAATTAAAAGAAACGGCAATCCTATGTGAAGTCAGACTGTAGTAAATCTAGTGCATATGTGGAATAAATAACTACAATCTAATTGGCCAATAATAAACACATACGGGGGGCTTATATCCTGAATTTTTCACTTTGTGAAAATTCCTGTTGGACTCTACATGAAATTTTGATTGAGTAAGGAGTTCAGAATTAGGTCCTGGGTTACTTTAATGTTGCAGAATATTGTGCCTGTGCTTAACTTTAAGATCATGGTTAGTTCCATTGGAGTAGATAGGACTATTCACATGCTTAAAGTTTGGTATGGGATTCAGTACCTTGCTGGCCTGGGGCCATAAGCATTGTGAGGAGTTTGATCCAGCACATATTAAGTGGATGGGAGTTTTGCTGTTGACTCAGGTGTTGACATGATCTGGCCCTTATTTAGTGCTTTGTAGTAAGGAAAGGAATTAAAAAAGGAATTAATTACAGAAGAAAAGGGATAAAAACATAGTGAATCCTCAATGGACAGGTGCGTAAAAGCTTCATGCTCTGGTCCAGAACCAATGTGGCTTATTTATCAGCAACTGGGAATTTGCAAGTCTGGTTTTTTTTTCCAGATAGAACCAAGCTTACTTGCTAAAGAAAACACATTCCTTTTGCATTACTTTTCTATGGAAGCAACCCCTTGGCATAGACTAAAAGGCCCTGTTATATTTTAAATAGTTTCAAAAGTCAAATTTCTATAAAAAGTAAAGTCTAGAGACATGGACAATAAAACCATAACTCTTTTGAAAGTTTATAGAGAGAAGCTATTAAATACCTAATCAAACAGTTAAAAAAATTCTTCAATTTCAATGCAACCGATATTTTAAGGGAGTTTTATATAGAGAGAGAGAGCTGTATTTCTTTGGGAGAACAACTAAGAGGCTCACTAATCAGGAGCTAATTAATAGGCTGGGAAGATTTAGTCAGTCTCTGGGTGAATCTAATGATTTCAACCACCTCCCCTGCGGCAGAAACCTTTATATTTGAATAGGGCCAAGGCCATTAATCACAGACTGAAGAGCCCTTCCTTCTATGGCAACAGAATTCCTAACAGTGCCTTCTGCAGTGATCAGTCTCCAACTGACTACAAATTATCAATACTGATTACCAGCTTGCTGCAACGGGGAGGGGACGGCGGGCTCAGCACTGCAGGGCTGGCTAGACTCCCACTGCCCTTGTCTGTCTGTTTGCATACAGAGCTGTCCCAGGCCTTTTCCCTAGACGTGACAACGCCAGATTAGACTGCCTTTACCCGCCCACCCCGTGCTGATTTCGCAGATCAAGCGAAGAGCAGCGGTGGTTTTAAACGCAGACTTCGTGTCTGGCGCGTTCACCTTCTCTTTGGACAAGTGATGGAGAACGGAAACGGGCGTTTTGCCCCAGCGGGTTCAGGAGTGAGTCCAGGGGCTTGCTTTCCAGCGGCCAGGTAAAGGCGTTTAAACCTTTGCTTTGCTTATAGGCTGGGTGGCTGCTGTTTGGCAGGGAAGCATTTTGCAACTCTGGTTTCTCAAGCATCCTCCACAGGTCTCCCCTCCCCCCGCCCTTTTCCAAAAGGGGCAGGAAGGAATTTGGTGAGACGGAGTCTGGAGAGCCTCGCAAAGAACAGGCTGGGAGCTGATGCCTTCCGCTCCTTTCTGCACCCGCTGGTCCCACCCATTTTCTCCACAAAGCCGCTCACCGCCAGCAGCGAAACAAAAGGGGGTGGGGGCGAATGTCCTGCGCGTGCCTCTTAATGTTAGCCCCCGGGCCGTGGTGATTTCCCCAGGCGGTGCACGACAGGGGAGCAGCTAAGAAACCTGGATGCTCCCCATAGTCTGGCGCTGCAGTCCTGGCTCCGAGCCTCTGCAGTCATTGGCCATCTCGCCCCTCAGCTCCCGCGGGGAGTGGGCGAGTCGGCAGAGCAGCGCGCTAGTTGGGTGGGGCTGCTGAAGCCACAGCCAGGTTGCCTGGGCGCCAGTGGGACAAAGTAAAAACCGCACCCGCTGGAAGCGAGGCCACAGCACGGGACTGAGGATGAGCAGAGAAGCTGCGGTTACCTACAAAAAATACGGTAGTTGGGTACCTCAGTTGCCCAGCGCCCTACTTTCCCGGGGCAGCCAGGAGCGAGGTTCCAGGCTTGAGGTGGCTCTTTGACAAGCAGCTGGGGGGTTGCTCTCCTAGGGGTGGAGGCCCGCAGCCTCAGCCTTGCCATCCCCTCCCCCCTGCTGTTTCCTGTCTGAGGGGATGGGAAGGCTGCCTGTGCGCTGGGCCAGGCTCCCTGGGCGTGCCCGTGCGGAGACAGCAGCAGCAGCCGTATGGGTGGGGTCTGTCTGCCTGCATTGTGCTGGGCGGCTGGAGTCCGTGGCGCTGAGCGCTGCAGGTGCCCTCTCCCCAGGAACTCCGGGAGCAGCGGTGCGCAGTGTTACACAAAGAATCCCAATGTCACCCCCTCCTTAAAACAAAGGGCGGGCCCGTTCTCTGCGAGGCGACGGGGTTATTTATTGAATTAGCAAAAGAGAAAAGTCTCCCTCTGAAGCCTGGCGCCAGGGACAGGGAGGGGTCTTCCATTTTCAGCCACGAAACGCGTCAGTTTCACTTCGCAAGGGGTTAGCTTTGAAACAATATCACACACAAGAGAGAGCTGAAATGAAGAGAGAGCCCTAGCTGGAGACCTGGCGATAAGGGGGCTTTTAAAGTAGCGCCCACACACCATATTTCAGAATAGGCAAGGTCACTTTTTGGTGTGTCACTAACTCCCCACCCCACCCTTTTATCAAATCAAATAACTCCCTTTGAAATGAGTGTTCAGCTTACTTGCCCATATCACCCAAGAGCAACCAGCCACCAGATCTCAGGCGAAGACTTCAAAAAAGCCCCCGGCTCCCAGCCCGCTCCCAGTTTTTTTTTAAATAAAAACACAAAACAAAAAGATGTAACATTGTCTTAGCCATTAAGGCCTCTTAAGGGAGCACCCAAGACCGCTGCTGGTCCTAGGAAATAGTGGCTGATGCATTGGCTGAAGAAAAAGAGATGCGATTTCTTACCCATTGCTGTTTTAGCCATGGTGGGATGGATGCAGATTCTCAGAGGCTGTGAAGGCAAAGGGGTCCAGCTACAGCAGTGGAGAGAGAGAAGACTGAATAAGGCACTGAGTCAGCAGCGTGGGGCTGTGCAAGAGAAGGAGCAAGAGGCAGGAGCCCATGAATAATTATCACTCCTCTACTCAAGCAGATTGGCTCCAGAGGTCCCCTGACATGACTCCTGCGGAGCTAGAATCTCCAAGCATTAAATATTGATCCACCAATGGTACTGGAGTACAAAGTGCCAGAATGGAGTTTGAAATGGAAATCAGTCCTTGAATGCCTCTCCCCCCTCTCTTTAGTTTTAATAGTACAGTCCATGTCAAATGTTTTATGTCTTACATGAAAAGCCTATTGGGGTTGAAAGCTCTCCTGTTGCTACCTGGAAAATACGCACAGATGCATTTTTTTAGCGCATTTTAACACCAATATGACAAAGGGAGAAATAATTCAGAAGTTTTCTGAGCCATTTCAGCATAACTGTAGTTTTCATTAGTCTGCCTCTGGCATTACTGTACATTGGCTATTGCAGCACACACAGATGCTTGTACAGCAAATTCTTGCATTTCAGTATTTTTTATTTTATTTTTCAGACTCATCTATCGATGATACATTCAGTGGTAAAGCCTAGAGGGTGACAGTGACCCTAATTAATATGTGCAAAGTGCTCCAGAAAATGCAAAGCAGTCTCAGTGTGACAATTATTATTTCATTACCACACTGGCCACCTCTCTGAGGCACCATCAAAACAACAATGGAAATTAACCTGACTTGCTTGGCAAAAGAGTGTGGAATATGAGTGACTACTCAAACATCACCCCAAAAAGGGTTGCCTGGGGCTTGAGGCATTATAAGGTATTTATCATCTTTGGGAGAGAAAGGTTTTCCTTCATTGTCTTTAGGGGAAGGGCAGTGATTTGGCTGGAAACAAATTAAGAGAAATCTGAAAGTCATCTGAAGCTCTGGGTTGAAATATGTTGGAACCCTAATATATGTTCTAGTTGGAAGCAAGCCTCTGCCCAGGAGTAAGCAGTGTACAGAGCATAGTATGGGATGGAGGGGTGAATAGGTTATCTTATCATCCTTTACTATTGCATTTATCTAATTACTACTGGACTTCCTCTTCCAGAGAATGTATCTTCAGTTTTGCCCAGAAAAAAAAGCTTAGAGATAAGTATTACAGCACAGATAGATGTAGGCATCTGGCACATTTCTATTTAGGGGTAACAAAGGTGGGGAGGAAGAACCATTCTAAGGCGTCTGTCTGTCTGTTTCATATGTCCATTGCCACCATAGGCTTCCAGAGCGTGCTAGGCCAAGAGTACTTTTCTCCTTCCTCCAGCTGTACCATTCTCTCTCACATTTGCCACAGCTCAGTGATCCTTGTGATCCCAGCATCGCTTTCCAGTGCGGTTGGTTGTGCCAAGAAAGGCAGCCTCCCTTATGACAGCACGCTATGGCCACCTTTCTCCTTGTCCGTCTCCATCTGCAGGGTGGCTGGTTTGTGTTAACGAGAGCAGAGGGCTGGAAGGAGGCTGGGGAGGGGAAGCCACATGCACGCGGAGAAATGCAGCCTGTAGGGTGTGGGGTGCGTGTAACCGCATCAGGGTGCGCCTATTGCAGCGTCCAGGCTCTTTGAGGTGAGCTGCCAAGAGGGCTTTAGTCTGTTGCCCGCTGGAGCTGAGCTCGTGAGGTGGCTTGCTGGGGTGAGGTGAAGAGTTTAGTTCCCAGACTGCCCCACACAGGACTACTCAGCTACACAAATGGCAGGGAAATGGCCCCGGATTCCCACGCCCTTGTGAGTGGGTTACAAGGTCCAGTCCGTTGTGGGCGGAGGAGCAGGGGGGCGGTTTGGGGAGGAGGGGACAGCTGGCGGGTGTGTGAATGAAATGGGGGATGGTACTGGGGCAAGGAGAAGCTGGGATGGATGTGCCAGGGGTTGCTGCTCCTGCGGGGCAACTGCGAGGCTGGAGCTAGGGAAGACGCCGGGCTGACCTGGGGGAACCTCCGGAAGGGACCTAGCCAGACATTCCCACTGTAGCTAAACTCCCCAGACTAGGGTAAGTCTTCTCCTTTCATCTGGGCCACCAACCAGACGTTTCGGGAAGGAGCCGGGAGCTCTCCAGGGTGCTGAAACTTCTCTGGGCCTTGCGAGGACTGAGCGATAGCTCCTCGCATCCTCCCCTCCCCCATCTTGCAGGCCCAGCTGGATCCAGGGCCGTTCCGATCCGCTGCAGCAGATGAGGCGGGGGAGGAGGCGAGATGCTCCGCAGATCAATGCACTTGCTTAGCTCTCCTGCAGACCCCCCCAGCCACGCCGGGGCTGAATGCGGAGCCTGGATCCATCGGGGTTTGTTTCTGCCCCTTGTCAAGTTTATAACAAGCAAGAGCGGGGCATCCCCAGCTCACAGGCTCATTGGGGTTAGCCTGCGCCCCCTCCCCCGCCAGGGCCCCCCGCCGCTCTCAGCTGTCTGGCTGCATTGCCTGGAGGGAGCCTGCCCTCTGACTAGCCCCTCAACCTCCGGGCTCCCGCAGTGCTCCCGAAGCCAGCTCCGCTCCTGGGTTGGATCAGCTTTGTCCAGCCAGGAGGGGACCGTGGCTTTGGGAAAGGGGAGCCGCGCAGAGCAGGCGGGAGGTGCTTTTGCGTCTGTCGGGGG